GGGGGGGGGGGGGGGGGGGGGGGTATATCCATGATGTAACTTGAACTGAAACATCATTTTATAGTTGCCCTTAAGTGTTTTCAACAGCGGCTGTTGCTTTAGCTCAAGAACATTCTTTAATAAAAGGCAGACTGTCAAAATAGGGATTACTCATTACTTGTTGATAGTTCGAAATGACGTCTAACGTAGGTCCATCTGATCTAGACAGTTTAAGGTTTAACATTAGCCGTAATGCTTGTTTTGTGCACATTACTCCAAATGCTACGGTGTGCCTGGGCGTAGAAGAAATGAAGAAATGAAGAAATGACGGTAATGATTTGGACTTGATCACCATAGCACCCCTCCGGTGGGGGGGGGGGATGAGCAGGAGGTATAGGACATTCAACTAGAGCAGGACTATATTAACACGTATGTCTATTAGCAAATTTAAGGCAAAGTACTTCATATTTAGGTAATTCTCCTTGATTTTCTTGCAAAAAAGATTTCCTTTTGGGTTCAGATGAGAGATATAGTTCGTGAGGGAAAGGATTCGGAAAGATTTTTTCATATAAATATAATTTTTTCATTTCTATTTTCATCAGGTTTTCGGATTTTTTTTTGGTATTTCAGAGTCGTGACCTAAGTGTATGGGAGCAGTGCTTTTTGGGACAGATCTATTCAATCCTTATTGAAAGTGAACGAAAGACCTGTCGCAGCGCTGAACCGGATCCTTCAAAGAAATCCTATTTAGTTGCCCAAGCAAGTGCTCGTATTACCTCGAAAGTGGTGAGAGATTTTAGAGAGACGCCCTCTGAGAAGACAGGGCAATGATCTTGTATCCACATTCAGGTTCTCTATGTTATGGAAGCAATCAGTCATAAACAGATTGCTGAAGAAAATGTGCAGTCTATAAAAACGACGTTGGAGTCAAAATGGCGACCAAAGCGGAAAAAGCAGGGATCATCGTAATAGAGGGATTTATATTTTTTCTATACTTGGAAAAATTGGTTGTCAGTTGTTTTACTGTACCTTTTGTTGTTATATTGTTCACTTGTTGTTTGTTGTCGTTTTAGAAATGCTCTGTTGAGTTTGTGATGAACGAATTCTAAAATAGCTAGTGATAAATCATTTATAAACTTTGTCGGTGGTGTAGTGGCAAGTGACACACTATCACACAGGCACGGTCCGCGGATCGAGCCCTGGACATAAGCGCCTAGGCGAGCCAAGCCTTCTATCCCTTCGGAGTCGACTAATTGGTACCAGACCCATCTGGGAGGATTGAAGTATTGACTAGTACATCGACTTGCCACCGCGATTCATTATACAGGCCCACATACGCATTCGAACCGCCATCACGATTTTGAATAGGAGTCTAATGCGGGGCGCATTACGATGACGAGATTGCTCACCGCTAATGACTTGGGCCGATACCAGCTCTTAATTTAAAAGGTATCAGAAAAATCAGAAAATGAAGTAGGGTGGGTTAATCGAAGCCCGGTTGGCTTTTTAGGGCCTCATACCAGACTTCTATTGGATCGTGGGTGTAACGATCCAGCGATAGGATCCGACATCGATACCAGACCAGATCAGCCAAAATTTCAAGGTCCTTAAATCTATTCTAAAGTCTTAAAGGACATGGTTTGTTTGACTTGAATAATTCTTTATGTCAAATGTGTCGTCCAACGTCACCACAATTCTGGGAGTGACACAAATGCATGGCGTAACCCAAAAGGGGATAAATATCCCAAGGCTGTAAAATTCAAAAAAGGTTGAAAAACTGTTGATTTGGACTTTTGCTCCTCTGAAAGATGTACATCTGCGTCAGGGACCTGGCCTGATTCCCACCAGTGAACCAAAAAATCAGTTGAAGTCTCCTTGAAGGGTGAACTGGGGAAACGAAGGACCTCTCGAGTAGGACTCCTCTCTAATCCGATCAAGCCAGCTACTGCATGCCAGTTAAGGTCCGTTTTCTTACCAATTCCCGATATAATGATTGTTTCCAAACTGGCTAGTACAGTAGGTATGTACCATTTTCCTGTTTTGAGACTGAAATGATTTAAAAAACAAATTCAATTACGGTACAGAAGTT